CTCCCTGGATTGTAAGTGGCGTGTTCAGTGACTGCACGTCCACGAGCATGACCTTACACTTTGTAGGTGCAAAGTGCATACCAAAGGACGGGATGACCTTGGTCAGTTCAGCCAAGAACACTTGCGTCATTTACCTCCTCTTAGAAGATGAAAACGTTGTCGTCACTGATTTGGTATGCACACAATCTGTCCCAATCATCACAGTCGATGAAGTGGAACTATCTCACTTAGCAGCCAACTCTATTTGACGTTGTCAGTTCAACGACCAATGGTTACATGCACCCGCTACAGTAAGAGATATCTAAGATGCGCGAAACATGCATAGACGTAATACACTACTCATGAGGTTGCTCAAAATTCCTCGACATCATAAGCGAGAGACTCAGCTGGGTTCTAGGTAAATCGCCCATCGGAACCAAATTCGTATCCAAATGAGTGTATTTCGCTAACTCCGTGCAATCTGGTTTCAACTAGAACATGAGGCTGATGGAAACTCGTGGACTGCACCTATCTGATGAGCCCCAAAAAGAGCGAAAACGGTCGTGGGCTGTTGAAGAATTTTCAGCAACCTTATGAGTAGTGCATTACGAAAGTCATCCAGCGTTTATTCAGACCACATGATATGTCAAGTCGTATTTCACACAGTAGGCTGTCGATAGCACAGTAGTGCAGCGTTTCCCCTCAAAGCCATCCAGGTAGCTAGTCAATAATGCTATCGGGTCCCCGGATAGAGAGCTAGATAGAACACTCGCCAAACTGAACAGCGAATTCAACTTGATGACGCAGGTTGAATCCTAAATGCGTGTTTTTTGTCTAAGGTTTACGGGGCGACCACTTGTCTCCACTTCTCCATCCATCACAACTAGCCTTTTTGACAGTCCACAAGGGAAGGAGGCGCATTCAGTGCCAGGCGGGGTTGCCGCATACTGATCAGGATAGGCTCATATTTAGTGACTTCGCTGCAGCACCAGAAAGGGGGAAACTCAGACAGTACTATGTGAATAATCTGCGGAAATAAACGGCAAAGCTTACCAGTTTCTTTCATTTTCCACCCGGGTTCGATTCCAAGGGAAAGCTAAGCTCACATTGAGCGACCAAATCTTAGCTCATCACCACACGTGTCTAACGATTCGAAAGTGATCGATCTGTCAAGAGTCACGTGGATTAGCATGACCGACAAATGAAAACACTACATAACCAGTCAGCCACTCAGTTGGTGCATTGCAAACTCGATAGATCAGAGAACTAATCATTTGTAATCTCAACATAGAGACTACTTATTTCATCCTGGTGTTTCCCTTTAGGTACACAAAGTTTTTGTTGATCGGGTGCTTTCGCACTACTTGGGCGACAAAATTATCAGCAGATAAACTATTGATACTGGTAATGCACTACTCATTAGGTTGCGACTGAAATATGAGGCGGCCTGGTGCAGTACATTCAGTTGCCTGGATACATCACAAACGAGAGATTCAGCTGGGCTCCAGGTGAGTCTGTGGTCAAAGACAAATTGGTATGCAAATCAGTATATTTCGCTACCCGCCTTTCACCTCTGCCATAGTGCCGTCCCGTTCGACACATCTGGGTGGGTGAGTGTGCGCGGCTGACCTATTTACCAATGCGTGTTCGTGCCTCGTTTACTGAGGCTGCCGTGACTTGTTCTGTCCTGAATTCTGTTTGATCGCACCGCCGATCAGAATCACCAGACTGTCGTCGGAAGGGACAACCTTCTGCTCGCCGCTGTTTGGTTTTTGCACCTTAAAACTGCATTGTGCCGCTCAGTGCCAGACCTGTGTACATGTTGACGCCACGAACGTGGACAACTGAGGTTTGTTGTGCAAATTTGAGCAAATATTACCGTAAACTTTCGAACCCAATTCTTCTTTTGATATTCGCCATCGTCCAACCTACGCGTGACTCAAAGTCGCGAAGCTCAGCACCCACTTTCTCATCCTAAACGAAGTGAAGTAACCCATCACTTTTTCACGGAACCAGTAGCCCAGAAACTTCCTGACTTTCAACAAATTAGTATATTATGAAAAATCAATAGGACCGTTTGGTGAAACAGTCCATTCACACTCGTCAAAACCATAATGTCACAGAAAACTGGTCGATAGCCCACGACGAATTTCGCCCTTCCTGGGCCTCATCAACTACGTGCAGTCCCGAGTTTCGGTTCAAATACCGAATTGTACGGAATCGGCAGCGCCTTCGGTTAAAGAGTACTATAAAAGCGAGAGGTTCAGCTGGAATTCAGATGAGTCTCTTCCGTTAATGCAAAATGAATTTGCGAACGAACGCAATTCGCTAGTATTCAGGTAGAACATGAAGCTGATGGAAACTCGGGAGCTGCGTTTAGCTGATAAGCCTCTGAAGGGCGAAACTAGTCGTTGGCTTTCGAACAGTTCTCAGAAATCTTATGAGTAGTATCAGGAAGGTCAGACTGCTGAAAGTAACCTCGGAACGCCCGGAACCTACTGCTCCACCAAAATCTCAACAGGAAAGCCGCCAAGCATCCAGGCCAGTCAGTCATTCAATCACTTCAACAAAAGCTGATGCGTGTTCTTGCACTCCACAGAAGCACGACCGAATGTGATCAGCGTTCAGGCACTTCATAGAGGCACGATCGATGTTGATGAATGTTCACTAACGCCTATCAGACAGCCTGGATTCCCTTTAAATAGCGTGGGGCCGTTGTAGTCTTTGCTCTCGCACTCGCTTGTTTGGATCTCGCCCTCCGCTCGCTTGTTCAGAATATAGTTGTTGTGTTCCCTTCTGTGAGTCTTTTTTTCAGGCACCGGAGCGGTCGGCAGCAGATAAACCAGATTGGCGAATCACAGATATAACAAGTCGTGAGTTCTGTCACGAAAAGTACTCACCTCAGTTCACTACTTATAAGTAGGTTGGGCCTAGGAAAGAGCCATAGGCTTGAGTCTAAAGTCGGAGTTGTTTTTATCTGCCATATCAACAGCGTCTCCACACGTGGCTAATTTTCGTGCAATAGGACAGATTCGTGCGGTACAGTGTACTCAATTGACTTGGCTGAAGACCTAAAGGTACATACACAATGTGAGTACACTTTTATAGGGGATTCGGAACGATTTACTGATACCGCTGTCGATAGGTTAACGAGTTATCATAAAGGAAACTACTCACAAAGTTGCTGAAAACTCTTCGACAGCCCACGATCGGTTTCGCCCTTCCAGTTCGGGCTCATCAGGTAGGCGCAGTCCCCGAGTTTCCACCGTCAACCTTATGTTCTACTTGAAACCAAATTGAGCTGTTTTCGAGAAATACACTCATTTGCAAATCAATTTGGTTTTCACGAGAGACGCAAGTGAATTTCTCGTTTATGATATTCTTCAACTGAATGTGCTGCACACAGGCCGCCTCATGATTCAGTTGGCACGATATTCGAGGTATCGCAGTATATTTTCATAGAGGAAACTACTCACAAGGTTGTTGAAAACTATTCGACATCCCACGACCTGTTTCGCCCTTCATATGGAAATATACTGCGATATCTCGAATATCGTGCCAATTGAATCATGAGGTGGCCTGTGTGCAGCACATTCAGCTGGAGGACATCATAAACGAGAGATTCGATTGAGTCTCCCGTGAAAACCAAATTGATCTGCAAATGAGTGTATTTCTCAAAAACAGTTCAATTTGGGTTCAAGTAGATCATAAGGTTGACGAAAACTCGAGGACTGCGCCTACCTGTTGAGTCCCAATGGGGTCCGTCGAAGAGTTTTTAGCAATCTTATGAGTGCCTCATGTTTTTAGAGAACATTTTCTCTCGAAAAATGAAGCCGATTCATGCCTGAGAGCTGAGAAGCTCTGTAGAACTGTTTCATCTTCATTGAAAACCATTAACAGTGCGCATTTCAAGAAGCCTCAAATCGTTCAGTGGCCAAACTCTTGACCGTGCAGCCAAGAGGGACTGATCAAAACAGTGGGTTTAACTGGCATTTTTGGAGGGTTTGAGACTCCGTGGGGTTTCGTCAGGTTTGTCCCAAATCCTTTAATGTGACTCTGGCCAGTGGGAATTTTCCGTTCCATCGAACCTAATAGTAAGCTAAGCTGCATGAATCGTCCAGATCGCATTTTGCACCATTACCGAGTACCGTCTTCTCCCACTCACCATTCCAGTGAACTGAATCTAAGTTTCTCTGGCATTTTATTGTGTCACGAGGGCTTCCTCAGGCTCCTATGTTTCAATTAGAATGGACTTTCAAACTGTGCACATCAGACCATCGAACGCGCAGCATTCATTCGTTTAGAGAAATCGTTCAGCTGTAACACCCTTTCGGTGCCTAGCTCCAATGTCACCCGAAGGAAGCACGAAGGCAGGGATACTGCCAGCTCGCCCAAACCCAGACAAGGGAGGTTGAGAGGCAGAGGTCGGGTTCGAACCACGGACCCTCGGGTTACCGAATTCGCTCTCTACCAACTAGGTCATCTCGGCACATAATTGAGTGACCTCACGCAAAACAGAATTATCGACGCTTGAGGCCCTCATACACCTAGGAACAGGTTTGTTTATGACACGAGGGGCCGGATGAATTTCGAGAAGATAATCGAGAGGGAATTTATTATGAGAGGGGTTACAGTTTCTATGAATCTCGACTCTCTTCGTGAGAATTATGGCAATTGATGCCACACGTCGCGATGAAGCATCGACACTGGTGAACTGGCAATGTTGTGGTATTTAGGTAGCTCGGGTGCACTGCTTGGTTGTTGGTCTGTTCGCAGAGTTTGGCCGTGCACTGCACTGACGATGTCACCTCGATTGGTGATGAAACGTTTGCAATCCAACTGCCAGGTTCGGCGAACAGACCAACAACCAACCGGAGGACTCGGGTGGAACGAAGGCAGTCAGGACGCCTCCCCCAGATCAACTAGCAAAGTATCGGAAATAAAAACACAAATCAAACCCATTTATTTGACAGACAACCTAATTCAGAATGGAATGACGACCTCGGAGCCGTTGGACACGAAACAAGTACAGGAACGCAAGAATATGGGACAGGGCTACCGAGAAACCTAAACAAGGGAAAATATGATGCCTGGAAAGTTGAAAATGCCGTGCGTGAAAGACAGTGAGTGCGGCCGGCCGGCCGGTTGGAACGTATCAATCTGCCAGGCGTTCTCCTCTGTGTAGTCTGGTAATCTTGGTCGGTAAGAGGTGCGCCATATCGCGCGCGATCTGCACTTCTTCCGATTGGCCGATGGTGCTTTCCGGATTGTGGCGGAGGTGCGCTTCGACCAGGGAGACCACGTAGTTGTACTGACTGAGTGCTTTGGACAAATTCTGCACTCGGTCTTCGCGTGTGGCTGGGAACAATTTCGAGTGAAGCCGAGCAGAATAGAAGTGTGCCAACTGTAAGGAGGAAAAACGGAACTGTGAGGATCATGGTCGCAGGATGACGAGGCAGTGCGTACCAGGATTCTTCTTGAGCACGAAAGATGGGGTGGGTAAATACAAATAACCTGTTGAAAAAGAAAAAACTCCAAAAGTTGTACGAACCTTTGCTCAGGAAATTCGCTAGTGAAGAAGCTAGGCAATAACAGACCACATCGAGGGTGATGGAAGAATGAGCGGCACTATAACCCGTCCAAGTGTGAATTAATCGCAGTTGAAATCTAATGACAGAGTGCGTCTGTTCCTATCCGTAAGATCGCGATTTCGAACTTGCTCAGGGATCTGTGCGACATTCACTGAAAACTAAATAGTTGTACACTAGTTTTCGACAAAGGTTGCACCACACTTATCACCATTTACAGCAACAGTGGTGTTGTCATCGATGGATCGCAGGCGGCATATAGTCACAAAGTTTATAACCCGTCAAGTGTGAATTAATCGCAGTTGAAATCTAATGACAGAGTGCGTCTGTTCCTATCCGTAAGATCGCGATTTCGAACTTGCTCAGGGATCTGTGCGACATTCACTGAAAACTAAATAGTTGTACACTAGTTTTCGACAAAGGTTGCACCACACTTATCACCATTTACAGCAACAGTGGTGTTGTCATCGATGGATCGCAGGCGGCATATAGTCACAAAGTTTACTTTAAAGAGCTCTAAACAAGGAAATGGGACAAAAATAGGTAGGAACGAGTGTTCATATCTGCGAATGTTAACTCAGGACAGAAACTGACGCCACCAACATCGGCTGACTACCACGTTGTCCGGAGGCCAGCCGTCCCTAATAACCAAATATCACAGATTACGGGCCAAACGAAGCCATGCCCTGATTGGTCAGAATGCCAACCAATCCGGATCGAGCATCTTTGACTCGACGCTCCTCGCAGAAGTTCTAGCACGACCTTGTGGAACAATCTGTGATTACTCTATGAATACAGTTGCAGTAATTCTCCCATATCTGAAGCTACCGTGCCTTTTGATAAACCTTAGTGGGCGGAGCAGGAAGCCAAGGACCAATACAGAGTTACAAGGCCCTTCAGCAAGTCCGAACATACGTCTTCCACTGCCTCCAGCCCAGAAAAAAGAAAACATCTTGGAAATAAGGTTGCAGCAACAGTAGTAAAACGGTTCGCAATCCCTTCATGGCACTGTGTTGAGTTGCAGCTTGAACTGGGAAACATTCCGAAGGAAGTCGGGAAAACAGCGCGAATCTCGGAAGGCGGTGGTGTGTGGTTGAGTCACCACAGTTAATGGCGCTGGATGAAAAGCAACCTTTTCCAGTGACAGTATTGCCCCACCCCTTAGGAGTATCTCCGGGCAACGCATGCAGCCTGTTCGTGGATGAGTATTCATCCTAAATCTGACAAAAAATAACAGAGTTTGATTGTTACGGAAGACAGTGGACATACAAATGGTTGTGGCAGTCACAGGCCAAATGAATCCACTCACGTTTGCATTTTAGGTTTGGGGCGATGGCTCCGGCCGAAGTTCATCCAACACTCCTACAGTGAGTCTGTACCATCCATTACGTTGACAAATGAAATTCCCTACGTCCCCACTTGTAACCCCCGCCCCATTTTTGTGTTTATTGACGTTTGTTTGTCCTTATCACTTCAC